GGAAAGCGGGGCTTTGTCGGGGGCAGACGAGGCGGGCCTGAGGGGGCGCAGACCGAGTTGGAACGCGTGTCTAGGAAGCACGCGAGCAGGTTGCTGGTCGGGAGGCCGGCGCCGCCCCCGGGGCTGGGACGCGGGCGTTAGGATCCGGCAGCGGGCGGTGTGGCCGTGGGGCCGGGGCCGCGCGCGCGGAGGGAGCAGGCGCACGCGCACGGGGGCCTGGGCTGCGCGGCCGGGGCGGGAGTGCGGGGCTTGGTCACTCTGCACACGGCACGGAGTCTCCCCGGTTTGGCTGTGTCCTGGCCTGGGGGGGACGGTCAGCCTCTGCGGCCCCGCTGTCCCTTAAAGTCTTCGGGGGTGAGGTTGGTTTTTTGTTTTTCCCTTTCGTTGTAACTCAGACCCGGACCAGGAAGTTGTGCAAGGAGTGTACTGGGTAGTGGAGCCGGGGAGGCGTAGATGTGGGAGGAGAGCGGGGGCCTAAAACGATTGCTGTTTCTGGGCACCCGTCACCCGCTGGGCTTGCGGGGGGACCCACGGTGGACCCGTCACCCAGCCAACCTGAGTCCTGCTCACTGACGTGGGAAACAGGCAAGCTGTGGGCACAGCAGAAGCTAAGGACGCACCCCCCACTCCCAGCAGGTGGGGAAGGTGTGACCGTCCTCAGCCTGTCTTAGCTGCGCAGGAATGAAAGAAAGAGGGAAACAAATGGTTAATGAGGTTTTTGGGGTGATGGTGGGGTAGTGGGGTCCAGAGCCCTCGACGAAGAAAGAATTCTTGAAGACCTCTTTGGTGCCAAAAGGTGATTCTGTTGAAGCTCCCGGATAGGACCTGAGGGCAGGAAGAGGAGAAACTGGTTTTATATTGTGGGATTCCGGAAGGTTTAGTCCAGGGGAAATTTCCAGTGGTATTTTCATATGCTAAGGAAGACACAGGGATCCTGGGGGCCTGGCTGTTGTCAAGCCAAGATTGCTTTTCCTTCTAGCAGAACATTAACATTAAGGGAGTGTCTGCCTTAAGTACTTGTCAGTGGGCTGCAGGTTGTAAGGAAATTTAATTTTATCTGCCATTTCCTTCTGCCTTTGTTTCCCACAGCAGTTAACTGATGGAGAGCACAGTCAAGCAGCATGTGAGTCTCCATCAGCTTACAAATGTTTTAGGAAATTACAGGGAAACACAGCAATCTCCAGAAACCTAGGGACTCAATTTCCTGGAGCCCCAATGTCACCCTCCCCTCCATAGGATAGAAAATCTGTGATCATTCAGTCCTCACAAGTCAGTGCAGCTCGTTCTGACCACAGGTCCTGTCCCTCCCTGGCAGCTTTCCGTGTCGTCACCCCCAAGCAGCGTGTCACTTGCTTTGGTCTCTTGCAGGTGTGATGGCGGAGTGTCGGCCATGCCACTGGTGATGTCGTGGCTGCTGTGGGGCTCCCAGAGCTCGTCTGTGTCACTCGGGCGGGTGCCTGGGGCTCGGGTCGCCCAGGGAACCCTTCTATCCTGGGATGCTGGGGTGTGGGGGTCCCCAGTTTATGTTTTCCTTCTGTCAGCTCTGCTGCTGCGGGCAGTGTGGCCCCGTCTCCAGGGTAAATGCCCCGTAAGCACCTCCGCGCTCGGGGACATTGCATATTACAACTCGCGAGTAAGTTACAGGTTAGCAGGAAACGGGTGCAGAGTGTGAGCCTCACGTCAGTGCTGGGTCCTGTCACTTGCGGCTTCCTGTGTCCAGCTCGAGTGTGTGACACACATCTCCTTGACATCACACATGGATTTTCTGACTCCCCTGGGGCTGAGCATTTCTCACGGGCGGGTCTCTCTTCTGTGGACACGTTTCCAGCGTGTTGTCCCCTGTAATTCACGCGTCTGCTTCCTGATGTTCTGTTTCCTTCACGTCCTGTGGACATTCGTGCTGTTTCATTTCTGCGTGTTGTGAGTGTTCTCTCCCGGTCAGGGTGTATGTATCACCTCTCTGTGTCTGCATGGATGGACCCCTCACGTTGTTAGTGGACTTGAACTTCCCCATCTCTTCCTGTGTAGACGACCTTCATTTATTCTGTGAGAAAACTCCGTTGCCCAGGTCATAATCACACATGCTGGAACGTTCTCTCCATTTGTACCACTTGTTTCCACAACTGTTAAATCCACAGGACTGGGTTGTTTTCTGTGAAGTTGATTCCTTTTCCCTGTAGAGAGCCGTATTCTCTGGCCCCTTGTGTCCTAGTGTCCCCATCCCTGCCACTGCCCCGAGGCACTTGCTGTGTGAACATCCACTTGCCTAAATCAGGGGTGCCTGATGTCTCCCCATAACGAGATCCTAATTATAGGAATAGCTGGCAAATGGGAGATACTTGTCCTGGGAGATAAGAGCTTCCCCAGCTACATCCTCCAGTCCATGATAAGGAATGTGACCCCATCCATTACTTCCACAAGTCCATGGCTAATCCCATGGAATGGGATACGCTGAGTTTTAAGGAGTGATTTTCTAACCCCGGCCACGCAGACTTCATCAAGGTGATAGTTGAGTTATGCAGTTGTTGGAGAGTCCTTCCTGTTATCCCACAGAGTAACAAGCATGGAGATTTCCTGTATGCGAGCTATGGTAGCACTCTCTGAAGTTCACCTCAGTTTGCTAGCATTGGTATTCAGAATGTTAATAAAAACAGCAGTTTTCATTTTTAGTGACTTAGGTCACGACAAAGGAATATTCAAAACCTTAGTATGGAAAGCTGTAGTCAGATATTAATGAAACCAGAAGAATTCAGGATTTAGACTAGTTTATAAAAAATAGTATCAAAATTCCAATACCTATAAAGATGTGGTTTTGAAAGCATTATTTTCACTCTGAATTCACATTTATTTCCAGATATAGCCAAATCAAGGCTGACTCGATTGTAAAACAAGTCCAGTTTTATTAAACAAGGCCTCATTATATACAAAGGCTCAGCAAACACAGTGATTGGCCAAATAAGTTTTTTAAAAGGCTTGCTTTGGGGGTTCCTGGGTGGCTCAGTCAGTTGGGTGTGGGTTCGAGCCCATGTCGGGCTCTGTGCTGACAGCCAGCTCAGAGCCTGGAGCCTGCTTCAGATTCTGAATCTCCCTCTCTCTCTGACTCCCCTGCTCACGCTGTCTCTCTCTGTCTCTCAGAAATAAATAAAACATTAAAAATAATAAAAGGGTTGCTTTGCTCAAAGTATTTATAAGGAATCTCTAGATTGAAATTTTAATAGCCTCTCGAGGCCAGAAGCTAAGCCAAATCTTTGTCACGAGACTTAACATGTAGATTTATGTGATTTCCTCTTCTCGAGGTCCCCAAACTACCCTGAGGTTTCCAGCACCTGCTGGGAGCTGACGTTCCTTACTCACCTGGTGAGGCTGCTGGGACCCTGTCAGCGGGACATCAGGCCAGCATTTCCAGGGGGCTCGATGGCCTCCACAGAGTCCACCTTAAAGCCGCCGAGCTGTCTGCTCATTTCCGACTCTGTGCGGCTCTCCGTCAAATCGGACGTTCCAGTCCGAGCCTTGGTAAAGGGACCAGTGTGTGCAGCCGTGTCCGTTACAAGGAGAACAGATTCTCACTGCACTTGTGCAGAAAGGAGGAGAGGACTCCGCCCTCAGCCGTGGAGGAAGGTGTCTGCTTGTAGATCAAGTCAGCAGCTGCAGACACGGGGACTGAGGGGCTGAGGGGGACCCGGCAGAAGCAGGGCGGCGACACCGGCAGCACCGGGTCCCAGCTGACCCTTCACACGTGAGCAGTCACCCCGGCCGAGCTGCCATTGCCAGCTGTGCCGCTCGTTGGGAACAGACCTTGGGAACAGAGAGGGGAGGAGGGGAAGGGTCATTCGCCCACACCGCCCCGAATGGTCCGACCTTGTTCCCCTCCGACCTTCAGACCATCCCGGGGAGCCCCCTCGGATAGAGAAAGTGGGGTGCCCGACAAGCACTGTGGTCACTCCTGCCAAAGGGCCAAAGGAAAGGAGAGGGAGGCAGGGATCCCCCTGAAGGGCAGGAGGGAAACCCATCAGCCTGGGGGGCGAGGGCGGTCCCATAGACTCCCCTGGGGCTTGGGATCCTCGCCAAGGAGCACCCTCAGGTGGAGGTTGTCAAGTGCCCAGATTGTACTAGAGCCAGCCCACACGGGAAACTCCCCGGAAATTCCTAGAACGTCCCGGGAGAGGCCCAGGACAGCAGAGGGTCCCTGTGAAGGCCGTCAAATGTGGGGCGACCCGATGAGGTGGAGGCCACAGCTCAGGGGGTGAGAGAGTCCCCCCGAGGCGGACAGAGGAGCTGGGGGTGTGCTGAGTCCCCTGCATGGGAGCAGCGGGCAGGGCAGCAAAGGAGAGACCTGCTGCCGGGAGGTGGTGCTGGGGGGCTGTGGTTATGGGGGGCGAGAGGGAGTGTGGGGACCTTCGGGATGTGCCCCGTGTTGGACCTGCGCCTGGTTGTAAGTACCCAGGGGTCAGTTAGGGACAGTGGCCACATTGAGGCAGGTCCCTTAGGAGCCTGTGTGCTCACTGTGCGCTCATACACTGTGATTGTTTTTTCCTCCTCCGTTAAAGTGACCGGTGGCTCTGTCCCCATCAGTCCCTCAGAGACTCTTCCTTCTGGTGCCCTTTCTCTTGAATCCTGGGCCCTGTTAAATGTTTGAGAGGCCTTGCTGGTATCCTGGTTTCTGGAGGCCCTGAACTCATCGTACACACCAGGTGTGCCAGGTTCCCGGGCCCTGGTCTGTGTCCATGCCCAGAGTCCACCTAACCCAGGGAAAGAGTCGTGTGTGTCTCTGTTGGAAGAGAGGGGCTCCCCCAGGCTCCTTGACCTTGTTCCTTCCAGGGACGAGAGCTCCTGGGATCTAAGTGTCCACAGCATCCTGACGTTGCAGCTCCAGTTCTTAGAGCTGATGAGGCAGGATCAGTGAACAAGCCAACCATGTGTCCTCCGATTTCTGTGTTGTCCACATGAATATTTCATGTTTAAATCTGTACAGGAGTGGTCTCCTCAGCTCTGCTCTGTCTCCTTATACATACTGCTAATTGGGCGTGTGTGAGTCTTCGTCAGCTGCTGTCATCACCCCGTCCTTCACGTTCCAGCCCTTCCCGTCCTGTGCGCGCTGCAGGGGACCTGCTTGCGTGTTGTCACTATCTACTCACGTGTGACTCAGGGGTCCTAGGAATGGAGGGCAGCTCCCTGCCTGTCACCCTTCATCCTCCCACACACACGGGTGAGGATGGAGCTTTGCTGCAGTAGAGTGTGTGGTATATTTCAGGCCTCTGTGGTCTTTGAGGATGTGGCTGTGAAGTTCACTGCAGACGAGTGGGCTTTGCTGGATCGAAATCAGAGGAAGCTCTACAGAGATGTGATGCTGGAGACGTGCAGGAACCTGTCTGCTGTGGGTAAGGATGGCCCCGTCCTTTCACTGGTCTTTTAAGGAGGAAGAAGAAAATGTCAATAATTGCATGTCATGTGAAACCACATATAGAATATCGTTAGGACTTCACCAAATACTATTAGAACTAATAAATTAAATTTGGAAAAGTTGCAGAACACAAATATTCCACAAACTGTTGCATTTCTATATTTACTACCAAAATAACAGAGAAATGAAGAAAACAAAACCGTATTCAATTAATTCAAAAACAATAGGATATTATGTTAAAAGTAACCAAGGAAGTTGAAAGATCTCTACTCTGGCAGGTGTAAAACATTTAATGAACGATATTGAAGATGACACAATAAAGGGAAAGCTATACCATTGCCATGGATTGTATTGACTAATTTTGTTGAAAATACCCATACCATGAAAACCACTCAACATTTTTCAGTGTAATCTCTATTAACACACTGATAATAATTTTCAAAGAACTAGAGTAAGAAATTCTAAAATTTGTGTGGAAACAAAAGATTTCAAATAAACAAAGCTACTTTGAGAAGGCATATGTAAGCTAAAAACATAACAGTCTCAGATTTCAAACTATACTAAGCAAAACAGTATACTGCTGGCACAAAAACAGACACAGAGGTCAAGGCAACAAAATAGAGAGTTCAGAAATAAACCCATACTTATATGGTCAGATTAGATTATCTACAAAGAAAGCTGAGAATGCACAATGGGGAAGAGTGTTTCTTCAAACAGTGGTGCTAGGAAAATGAGACAGCTACCTGCACGGAGATGAAACTGGACCAGCTTCATACCCCTTACCTGAACGTAAACTCAGTATGGATTAAACACCTAGATGTAGGACTTGAACCCATACAGTCTTAAGACAAAATAGAGGCGCTAAACTCATGGACATCAGCCTTCATGTTATTTTTGTGGAATCATCCCTTCAGGTAAGGGAAACAAAAGGAAAAATAGAAAATTGAAAGAGGAACATAACAGACATTTTCCCACAGAAAATATAGAGTTGGTCCCTTGACAAATGAAAAGCTGCTCAATATCATGAATCCTCAGGGAAATGGAAATGAAAACCACAGTGAGCTGTCACTTGACAGTAGCCTGATTGGCTAGTATCAGAAATAGAAGAAATACAAGGTCTCATGAGGATGTGGAGAAAAGGAAACTGATGGTTGGTGGGATTTAAATGGGCGCAGCCAGCTTGGCAAACAGTATGGAATTTTCACAACAAAATGAAACACAACAGAACCATATGGTCCATAATTGCACTTCTGTGTAGTTCCCCAAAGAAAAAATTCCAGTACGATAAGATGTGTGCACCTCCAAGTTCACTGTACTGTTATCACTACTCGAGATAGGGAAGCAACACAGCTATCTGTCAACAGATGAATGGTTAATGAAGATGTGGTATCTACATACAAGGAACTACCCCTCAGTAATACAAAAGAGATGAATTCTTGACATTTGTGACATCATGGGTTGATCTAGAGGATATTATACCAAGTAAATAAGTCAGAAAGACAAGCAAAATATCTTACTTATATGTGGAATCTAAATGACAAAATGAACAAACAGCGGGAAATAGGAACAGACTTAAAAGTGTAGACAACTAATTGGTGTTTGAGATTGGACGGGGATTGAGAAGTACAGGTTTGCACTTACTGAATACACAAGTCGTGAGAAGGAAAATTAGAGCACAGGGACTATGGTCAATAATTTTGTGGTTTTGTATAGTGACAGCAGTTACAATTATGGTGAGCTTTTGTAATGTAAGTAATTGTTGAATCCCCATGTTGGCACACCTGAAACAAATATATAGGTCAGTATACTTCTACCATAGAAATGAATAAATGAATGAATGATAAAAAGTCCCACGATTATCATTCATCAGTGACCCTGAAGACGAAAGTCAGCCCCCATCTTCCAGATTGCTTGTTGTCCTTCAAATCCTCCCTCCTGATGAGCTTTTCTCAGGGGCAGGGCAGCAGCCACACTCACCATCTGATCTCCTAGTGACAGCTGGGGCAGTGCAGGCGGGCTCCACTGAGGGTCTGTGTGCCTTCAGAACAGTCCAACCCTTGGGTGACCAGGGTCTGGAGAAGAGATTGGCGTTTGGACACGTCCATTAGAAATGACTCAGTCTTTGAGAAGGGTGATGTCTGCCCTTCACCTGGCCTCCCTGTTGGCCTTTCCATCCATTGTCACCCACGTGGCCAGTCTTTCTGTCTTCCTGTAGAGGTAGGGTGTGGATGTGTGTGTCTTGCCCAGTTCATTCCTACATGGCTTTTCTGATAATACTTATCTTCACATTAGTCTCCATCTATTTTGAAGTATTTCTCAATGCACGGGGTGCCATTTCCTACACTTTCTCTATAATTGCCGAAGTCCCAAGTCACCAGGGTCCTCGGAATTTTTTGGTCATGTGACCATTCTCCCTCATGAAGTTCATTTACATTTTAGGATCAGTATATGAATAGAAGCAGACATTTGGTCTGTTTTCTTACTTTAAACATCAGGTCATTTCCAAGAAATTCAATTAGGCTGCCAATTCTTGTAGTTTCTCTCAGTCAGGGTAATATGAGTGGATCAAAGACACAATGGAATGCTTTGGAGAATGAACCTCTGAGTGAAGAGAAAATACTAATGTTTACAAAAAATGATTTCTGTTCTGTTTGTAGACGAGCAGAAATTTCACAGCAGTGGAGATCTGAGCCGAATGCAGGAAGGGCTTTTGAGGTGAGTGACACTTGCAAGGGATGAGTGGGGAATGTTGGCAGTTGTGAGACTAACCTGAAATTAAAGAACAGCTGTAAACCTAGGTCAACTATTGTGTAGTCGAAATTTTCACAAGATGAAGTTTTTATAACTGTATTCTAGGTATTGGTCATCTGAAGAACAATTCAGTTGGAAAAAATGGTCAGAGAAAACTATATGTAAGAAACCCAGAATGTTAGGACTCTGAGTCCTTAGCCAGAGAGTATGGATAGACAAGCATAATGCATTTTAGGCTTGTGCCATTTTGTAAGCATGCAGATAGTGCCACAGTCATTCCCATTTATTGAAAGTGGACGTTATGTAGCCCAATAATGATTAACAAACACGAATAGATCATTAATTAAGAAAGATTGCTTATAATCATTATTTCCTAACCATGTGCCTTCTGATTTTGAACAGAAGTCCTTTGGTGGAGGGTGCATGTGAATGTATTGAAGATGATCAACATGGAGAAACCCTGAACCTGGTTACAAGTCTCAGTGTGCGTGAGGGTTGTCCCACCGGAGGCAAATCCTGTGAATGCACTAAGTGTAGAGAAGCCTTCGCAGATGGTTCCTTCCTTGAGAATCTAGGAAGATCTCACCCAGGACTCAAATCTAGCCCCTGTGAGGAATATAGGCCAGCCTGCAGCTCCATATTGAGCCTCAGCACTCACGTGGACGTGGAAACAGACCTTGGAGAGAAACCCTTTGAAGGTCAGGAATCTGGGAGAGGATCTGAGTCTTACATGAAGAGTTTCAGTAGTAAAAAATCAATAGAGTGCCAGAAATGTGGAAAAGGTTTCACTTGCACAGCTTCCTTTAAACGTCATGTGCGAGGTCACTGTGGACAGAGAGTCCATGTGTGTGATGTGTGTGGGAAAACCTTCTTGTATCACTGCTACCTAATACGTCATGTGCGAATTCACACTGGAGTGCGCCCTTATGAATGTCAAGAGTGTGGGAGAGCCTTCGGGTATAAGTCAAGCCTACAAAACCATGTGAGGACCCATGCTCGGGAGAAACCGTATAAATATCAGCCGTGTGGGAAAGCCTTCCCTGATCAGCACTCCTTTCTAGCACCTGTGAGACGACACACAGGGGATGGACACTTTGAATGTAAGGAGTGTGGGAAAACTTTCAAGAAACGTCTACATTTTGAATGTCACATGACCACACACAATGTAGTGAAACCCTATGAGTGTCAGGAGTGTAGGAGATCATTCAGGCATCACTCAGACCTACGAGTTCACATGAGGACACACACTGGGGAAAGACCCTATGAATGTAAGGGATGTGGGAAATCCTTCCGGAAGTACCATCATATTAAACGTCACATGGTCATTCACAGTTTAGTGAAACCTTATGAATGTAAGCAGTGTGACAGGGGCTTCGGGGATCAAACACACCTCAGAATCCATATGAGGACACACACTGGGGAAAGACCGTACGAATGTCAGCAATGTGGGAAAGCCTTCAGATATCAGTGGAATCTGCGAGGACATGTGACAACACACACCAGGGAAAGACCCTATGATTGTCAGGAGTGTGGGAAAGCCTTCAGGTATAAGTCATGCCTACAGGAACATGTGACGACACACACGGGGGAGAGACCCTATAAATGTCAGGAGTGCGAGAAAGCGTTCAGGTATAAGTCATGCCTGAGAGAACATGTGAGGAAACACACTGGCGAGAGACCCAATAAATGTCAGCACTGTGGAAAAGCCTTCATTCGTCATTACACCCTTGTTCTACATACTGCGAGAAGACACTCAGGGGACGGACACTTGGAATGTAAGGAATGTGGGGAAACTTTCAGGAAGCATCGACCTTTTGAACGTCACATGACCACTCACAATGTAGTGAAACCCTATGAATGTGAGAAGTGTGGCAAAGCCTTCAGGTATCACAGAGACCTGCGAATACATGCACAAAACCACCCTGAGGAAAAGCCCTGTAAATGTCAGCACTGTGGGAAAGTCTTCAGATCTCCTTCAAACCTGGGAGCGCATATGAGGTCCCATGCTGTGAAGCGACTATTGGAGTGTATGGAGTGTGGGAAAGCTTTCAGGCAGCCGCAAGGTTTTCGAAGTCATTTGAAAACGCACAGCACAATTAAACCCTATGAATGTAAGAAATGTGGGAAGGCGTACAAGTTCTCCTCATCTCTTCGAGTGCACATGAAGAAACACCCTGGGGAGAGACCTTGACACGCCCCCGCTCCTTCAAGAACACGTGAGGCTGCACAGTGTACAGTAAGCCTTTGTATGTAAGGACTCTGGTAAGACCGTCCAGTGTCCCAAAGATCTGCAAGTACGTGTGATGACCCTCAGTGGGCAGAACCCTATGAATGACTGCGAGAAAGCCTTCAGTTGTCCGTCTTCCCTTCAAGTACACGTGTGCACGCACGGTGACATGAAACCCTATGAACTTAGGCACCATGGAAAAGCCTTCAGGTATCCCAGGAATCTGTGATCACAGACACACTGTGGGAAAACACTTATTCTCCCTTAAAGTCTTATTGAAAATGCAAACCAGTACAATGGAGAGGATCCTGCATAGACACGTATTTGGGAAAAGTTCAGGTATAAAACCTTATGTATTTTGTTCATAAAATTTCAGTCAGGAGAGAAATCTTTTCATTGTTATGAATATGGTTTTGAGTTTTCTGGTGCCTCTTTCTTAATGGGGATCCCAAGTGTATAAATTCCTAGTTCGTGTCACTGATATGAACACTGATGGTTTTAAATGCCCTTCTTTGTCCTCTACATCTGTATGACCTAGATGTTGTTATCTCAGACTTTAAGCATTCACATGGTTATGTACAACATGTCTCTTTCCCATTACAATATCTTTAGGACCCAGAAGCGACAAGAATGTGTCTGTTGTTGGGGCGCCTGGGTGGCTCAGTCGGTTAAGGGTCTGACTTCAGCTCAGGTCATGATCTCACGGTTCGGGGGCTCAAGCCCTGTGTTGGGCTCTGTGCTGACTGCCAGCTCAGAGCCTGGAACCTGTCTCGGATTCTGTCTCTCTCACTCACCCTCCCCTGCTCATGCTGTCTCTCTCTCTCTCTCTCCTCTCGCTCTCTTTCTCAGAAATACATAAAACATTTTTAAAAAGTAAAAAAAAAAAAAAAAAACTTTAAAAAAAGAATGTATCTATTGTTCGTTTGTACATACAACTTGATATACTTTTACCAAAAAAAATTATTGGGGCGCCTGGGTGGCTCAGTTAGTTGGGCACCTGACTTCAGCTTGGGTCATGATCTCGTGGTTTGTGGGTTCGAGCCCCGCGTCGGGTTCTGTGCTGGCAGCTCAGAGCCTGGAGCCTGTTTCGGATTCCATGTCTCCCGTTCTCTCTGCCCCTTCCCCGCCCATGCTCTTGTCTCTCTCTCTTTCAAAAATAAACTATTTTAAAAAGTTTATTGAATTATACGTTCCAAAATGTTCTTGTTATGTCATCATGACATGAGACTTATATTGTTGAAAGTCATTTTCTGTTTTGTGATACTGGAATATTCTGATTTTATGTCTCCTTTTCTGTCTGTATTATTGGGTGACAAATTTTCACATCAAATTTTTCTTCAATTTTTTTTTTTTAATTTTTTTTAAAAATATTTTTATTTATTTCTAGGAGAGAGAGAGAGAGAGACAGTGTGAGCAGGGGAGGGTCAGAGAGAGAGGGAGACACAGACTCTGAAATAGGCTCCAGGCTCTGAGCTGGCAGTCAGCACAGAGCCCGATGCGGGGCTCGAACCCACGAACCGCGAGATCATGACCCAGGAGAAAGTCAGACGCTTAACCGACTAAGCCACCCAGGCGCCCCAAATTTTTCTTCAATTCTTAAAAGATTTTTAAAAATATTTATTTTTGAGAGAGAGAGAGAGAGCGACCACCCAAGTGGGTAATGGGCAAAGAGAGAGGGAGACACAGAAGCGAGCTCCAGGTTTTGAGCTGCCAACGGAGAGGCCAATACATGCCCGAACCCATGAAGTGTGAGATCATGACCTGAGCTGAAATCAGACGATTAACCTACTGAGGCACCCAGGCACCATTTTTCTTCAATATTTACAGTTGATAGTGGTTTAGCATTTCTGGGACTAATTAATTAGTGTCTTTCATTGATTTTCTTCCAAATTATGACTTAGAAGAACATCCCTGTGAACCAGAACTCAGGCTAACTTGTTTGTTTCCATGAGCAGTGATTGTGGTGGAAATACCAGTGGGGTGCTTTTCTCTGGCCCCCAGGAGGTAACGTCTGGAAAGAAGAGTACTCTTAATATCAGCCAGATTAGTTGACCAAAATATGCCATCTGATAAATTCTAGACTTAGAAGCCTCTTCATCCTTAAGAGAGGTAAAAACACTTCATTGTTTCCATAATATTGCACGGTTCTGAGGTACCCCAAACGCATTCCAACTAGAAGTGTTTTGGTTTTACCTTTCACTAAGGTATTTGATCACATAATGGTGTGTAACTCATCCTACTAGGCTGGACGTCAAAGGGAAAAGTATGTTCCATCAGTACCTTATTTAAAAGGATTTGCAAGGCACTTGGATGACTAAGTCAGTAGAACGTGCTATTCTTGGTCTTGGATTGTAGGTTTGAGCCCCACATTGTGTGTAGAGGTAATGTAAGTAAATAATAAAATGGAATCTTAATTTTTTTTTAATGTTTTATTTACTTCTGAGAGAGAGAGCGAGATAGCGTGAACAGGGAAGGGTGAGAGAGAGATGGAGACATAGAATCTGAAACAGGCTCCAGGCTCTGAGCTGTCAGCACAGAGCCCGACACGGGGCTCGAACCCACAAACCATGAAATCATGAAGTCGAAGTCAGACGCTTAACCGACTGAGCCACCCAGTTGCCTCGAATCTTAAACAAGGATTTGGGAAAGCACACCCAACGTACTGTGCTCCTCTCTGACTATAGGTGTGGTCCTGGTGGTCTTTGACTGGAGGTCACTTACAAAGTCATTATCTTAGACTTACTAATGTACTACAGTCATCTTAATGACAAAAGCCTTGAGTATGGAAGGATACAGGTGGGTTTTTTAAAAAATGATTGAGGTTTTTCTGGGCAACATGCATACAAACTTGTGTCTCACTAAACAAATGCACACTGTTTTGTTTTTTTTAATATTTTTATTTATTTCTAGGAGAGAGAGAGACAGCGTGAGCAGGGGAGGGTCAGAGAGAGAGGGAGACACAGACTGAAACAGGCTCCAGGCTCTGAGCTGGCAGTCAGCACAGAGCCCGACGCGGGGCTCGAACCCACAAACCGCGAGATCATGACCTAAGCGAAAGTCGGACGCTTAACCGACTAAGCCACCCAGGCGCCCCCCCTTGTGCTCTTTAAGTTCCACCATTATATCTGTTGTCCTGATATCAAGATGCCTAGTCTTCCGCAATTAGTGACAGAATGGGTGCTTGCCTACAAATGATACCTTATACAAATATGGTAGGAAGAGGGGAGTCAAAGCACCAGAGAAACTCACCAAACATGATAGTTTATTTATTTTTTTGTTATCATGTTTTATTTCTGAGAGAGAGAGACAGCATGAGCAGGGGAGGGTCAGAGAGAGAGACGGAATCTGAAACAGGCTCCAGGCTCTGAGCTGGCTGTCAGCACAGAGCCCGATGCGGGTCTTGAACCCACAAACCGTGAGATCATGACCTGAGCCGAAGTTGGACGCTTTACCGACTGAGCCACCCAGGTGCCCCCAAACATGATAGTTTAAATCAGTGGCTTGGGGGAGACAGTGGGGCTGGGTGGAAAACCCAAAGCTGTGGCTTTCTGACCACGGAATCTGATCCATTAACCGGGGAGGGGGGGGGGGGCATAGAGACATGAGTGGAAAGCAGGACTGCTAAGAAAACAGAAGGGAGACAAGTTAGTGTTTGGTACATGCTTGATTGACAGGCTGCTGGTAAGAACTTTGGGCTGCAAGCTTGTTGCCCGATAAGCTCCTATGCGTTTGTCCGTCTGTATGGCGACCCCAACGCTAAGCTAGGGCCTCTTCACCTCTGCTTTCAATATACTTAGACCACCGGTGAGTTGTCAGCTAGAATCAGGAGTACGGGGATTCTGGGAAAAGTGGCTGTTGGCCTTACCCACGTTGAAATAATTCAGCAGAACCATAACTATGTGTAGATTTCAGTGACCTTTCACAGGACCGTGGAAAGACGGAGTACAGTGAGGGGACAAAAGGAAAAGTTATGTGGTGATTATGTATTTCTTAAGTATATATGTAGTCTGAAGTATATATATATTTGAGAGAGATAGCTGTGTATGTGGTCAGAAGGACTAGGAAAACAAAACTATAAGGTAACAATTTCAGGTAACGCTGGAAGTTGATACCTAAATTCATGACAAGGTATATGCAGTACAAACTCTGGGTTCAATATTGTACCCCCCCCACTTCATGTCCACGTGGAACCTCAGAATACAGCCTTATCTAGAAGTAAGGTGTTTGCTTTTGCAACGAAGATGGGGCCATACTGGTTTAGGGTAGGTCCTGACCCAATGATGGGTGTCCTTATCAAACGGAAATTTGGACACAGAGGCTGCACTGAACTCAGGGTTTGACCACGTGAGACAGAAGCAGGGACTGGCCTGGTGCGTCTACCCGCCAAGGGATACAAAGTGTTGTAGGCAACCCCCAGGAGGTGGGAGGGGGGCCTGAGACACATTGTCCTCCAGAGCATCTAGAAGGAGCCAACCGTGCAGATAACTTGATCTCGGGCTTCCAGCCGCCTCAGGTGTGCCACCACGAATGTCTGTCCTCTCAGCCACCCAGTGAGTGGCACCGTGTTACAGCAGCCCCGGGAGAGGACTGCATTCTGAAGGGGGGAAGGGACCTTGGGTTTCCGAACGGCAGCTGGAATCCATTGTGCCCACAGCAGAGCGATTGTGGAGGAGGCACAGCAAAGCGAGACGAGAGGATGGGGTGGGTCATATGTGCTGGTCAGCCAAGAAGACTGACCTTGGTGGCAGCTGGTGTGAACCTTCATGATGAGCTGTTGGGGCAGCCTCACAGGATCCATCTGTTACCATGACAACAGACCCCAGGATGGTGATGTCCGGCCAGGTGGTGGGTCACACTGGGTTGGTATCAGTGGCAATGATGTGTCAGTTGGAGTGCGGATAGAATTTGACGTTGGGGCCGTCGCCATTCCCTGGCTTAGAGGTGGGCTGAGAGAGAGTCAAAGG